TAGAACGCTGCCCCATGACCTAGTCCTGGATTTGCAGTAGATAATGGATGGATAGATGGACAGATGGATGTTTGCAGAAAGTGCACTGCATTAAGAGAAGTCCAGTCCCCCCCACTCTGTTTCAAAATGGATATCAGAAATGGCTGCCTGAATGCCCTCAGAGAAAAATCACATATATCCTACCCAACAGATACGATCTGGCAACCTTATATCGGCTCTATAGGAACAACTTCCTTATCAGCTACACACATTTTCTGGCACCAGTGCATGTTAATGCTAACATCCGGATAAAATTGCTGAAGTAACTTCGCTGCTACTTTCATGTTTTTATTAGGAGCATAAATACATGTGTTCTAAACTATGTTACGGCCATGAAATACACCTTATTCACCAATTAAATGTGCATTATTTATTTCATTTATGTCATTATTTTTTCACTTTGTTCTTTTATGCTTCTTTGACAATGTTTTTTCTTTTTTTGGTTGGACTATTTTGCATATTAAACACGGTGAAATTAGATGCTCTAATTTAAAGACGACAGGCTACATTAAACTCTATGCGAAAAAGAAATGTAGCAGCTGGCTCAAATTAAAAGCATTGTTAATTTGGTTGGTTGGGTCAATCTGTTCATACGGGAGAAAAAACAGACTCACAGCATTCATCGTTGACAACACACTTCTCTGTCTCCTCAGTGTTGAGCTGGCAGAGCGAGCCGTCCTCGGGATACTGTTTGACATATCGCTCTCGAGACCTCATCCCCATCCCGCAGGACACGCTGCAGGCCGACCAGCTGATCCACTCTGACATCATGCACGTCGAGGGCTCTGTCCAGCAGGAAGAGAAAGCAGACGACAGACTCTTACTGAGTAAACACCAGCATTTGTACTTGAGCAAAATTCAGTGTTGTAATTTGTGCGCAGTGTATGCAGTATAAAAGTAACACTCTGGAAGTCTGTTTCTACAAGACGTCATAAAACATACACTGTCGCCAAAATACTTTTCCTTGTGAACATTCCTTGTTTCAAAAGAGACATGGAGAGGTTAAAGGTCAGATTCTTGGAAATCAGTTTTTTCAATTTTAAAGAGAGTCCTTATTTAAATCTGCTGACTTACAAGTGGCAGCCATGAAAACAAAAAGCCACCATGCTG